TTATTGAAACGGTTATGAATTATCAACTGTTTAGTTTATCACTCCCCCCCCCCCTAAACAAAACAACTCTACATAAACGTATTCGGTCTTTTTTGGCAACTGTAACGTTGTTTATTTCTATGCATTCTATTTATTTATTTATTTCTGATTGTGATTGTGTTGATATCTCTTAACGTACACCCCCCCCCCCCAACAGAAATCAAATCTAAATTCCTGCTCATGGCCCCCTGATTCAAATCCAAGGCGTTCTAAATACACAAACACCGTTTTCTGTGACAGACTATTACCGCATCACACAAACTAATATGAAACGTTTTCATTCCCATAAATGTAATGCAGAGAATTATCAAGAATTTGTTCCTCTAACTGGGAGGTTTGTTTCAGACTTTTTTTGCGTATAGCCATCATTAACTTCGAACTTACAGACTAGAGAGGGAGGGTAAGACAGCTAGTCGATAGCACCCACCGCCAACTCTTGCGAGAAAAGAGGGATTTGATTGTCACTTTTATACTGCACCCACAGTACCAAATTTGTGTGGTAGTGGCCCGCTAAACACTGGTCTAAGCCCGGCCCTAGTTGGAAGACACAGGGTTTTTTTTACTGTGAAATCGTGTTGCGGTCGTTCACTGGCTTCCTCACAGACCACATAAGGCCTTGTTTGGATTCCTTCGTTTTGACTGTTTACCAACGATGACACATAGCGCATGGTATGATACTTGAATTCCGTCTTTCAAAGATGTTTCAACAACTCAGAATTTGTTACAGAAATTATATTAACTTTTAGTACATAAGTGTCTTACTTAGAATTTTATTGACTGTGGATTTATCTATGATCTGCTATTTACATAAAGTGACTAAATTTTTTGGAGTCCAAAAAGGGAAACCTAACTGATATTATTTTCTTTAATAAATCAGGAGTGCGTTTTGGAAACATACAGTATAAAAGAATGAAATTCATCAAAAATGCGTATCACCTTAAATAACCCTTTTTTTTGGGGGGGGGGGAGCTGCAGTAGAATAAATTAATAATTAACCTAGACATGAGAATTATTTTTTAAAAAAATGTCTGAAAAAATACTAATTTTTTTATCTAAGATATTAATATAATGATAGTGTGTAGTCTGTAAGTAAAATGTTACAGTAATAACTAGGCCCGGCATGGCCAGGTGGTTAGGGCGCTCGACTCGCAATCTGCGGGTCGCGGGTTCGAATTCCCGTCACACCAAAGATGCTCGTCCTTTCAGCCGTGGGGGCGTTATAATGTAACAGTCAATCCCACTATTCGTTGGTAAAAGAGTAGCCCAAAAGTTGGCGGTGGGTGGTGATGACTAGCTGCCTTCCCTCTAGTGTTACACTGCTAAATTAAGGACGGCTAGCACAGATAGCCCTCGTGTAGCTTTGCGCGAAATTCATAACAAACAAACAGTAATAACTATATATTTAGACCAGTATAAGCTGCAAAACTTCGAGAAATAACACAGTTGAACATAAATTATGAAAGATGTTTATTCCGAAATGAAACAAAGTGGTTTCATATTGTTTTTGTAAGTTATAACAATAACGCTAATTTCAATGATTCCATAGTATTAAGGCCAATGGCCGACACCTAACGGTGTTTTATGAAACAATCTGATTTCATATTATTACATTTTCAATAAGTTTATGATTACGAAGACAGACCAAATCTTATGTGCAGTCATAGTACGGTAGTTTGTTTG